TTTGGGAAATTTTGATAAATTTTGGGAATATTCAATGATGTGGAAATATATGGAATGATGGGTTGATTTGGGAATGTATCCCAAACAGCCGGTTCAACTTCAATGTCCCGACCTGACTCCGACAGGTCATGTGGCCTATGGCATGAATGACGACTGTCCTTACCATGAGTTGAAAGGCCGAGAGCTTGGGACTTGGGGAGGAGCATGGCCGACATTTGCCCAAGGCCAAACATCGCTATTGGCAATCTAGTATGACAATGTATGACATGTGTTTGTTTGCAGTTGTACTTCTATGTACTTCTACTCATGTGTATTTAAGATCTTTCTGAATAATTTAGAGATCCGGGTCACATATTTTTGCAATAAAGTATTATCCCGAGTAAGATGGAAACGGTCACCAGTTCAGTCTCTTCTTTTCTGGCGCTACTCAGAGTGTTTGATGGTCGGATGCAGTCGACTTTGCCGCCAACATGTCATGTAATCCCCAAAAGCAGGGAGGGCAGTTTTTTTTGGAGGTGACTGACCCATTCCGCACTCCCACTTTACATCCATTGTATCCCCATGGCCCATGGTATCTCCCAGGTTTCAACAACGGTTCCGCTCCACAAATCCGCAGGTCAAAATGTGGCGATTCTCGGCAATGGGGCCTTTGCAGTTGAGAATGCTCGGGAAACCCAGGGTGAGAAAAAGACCGAAGGCAAAGCTGTACATATGTGATTGTTGTGCTTTTCCGGCCATTAAGACGGGGATCTAATTTTAAGTTCTCAGCCGGAAATCCGTGAAAACATGGGAAAATCCTCTTCTCAGAGTTGAACATGCGAGGCACGAACGTGCTCGGAGCATGCCACGAACAAGGTCGTTTTGAGGGGTCTTGGGGGACGACATGTTCGGCTGGATGTGCCGGGGCCGTGGAGAGCATGGGGTGGGTCAAGAATACTTCAAAACCAGGAGCTGTCAAAGGATTCAGTTTGATACTCCATCTTCATGCAGCCTTTTATGCAAGTGGCTATGGTTTCGAGATAGCACAGGTCGTTATCAAGGTCCAGGGTGATGGAGGTCTCCCCTGGTTTGTTGCTTTTCCGATCTAGCAAAGAATCATTGACGACCCTGGAACCTGTGGAAAGACATGTCGTTAGTATTTCATTAACGATCCAGCTCAAAACTTGTGACTTGAGCACCGGCATGTTGTGACGTTGTAGGACGATATTTGGCCTTGATACCCAGAATTCATCGTCATTATATCGTCATTTAATATAGGAAATCTATGGAAATCTGATGCTACGCCCAGCGTCCCATTGGGCTCAAGTGGCGTGACGCAAAAAGAGTTCCAGCTCAAATCGTGGAGGCCGCGGCACGGGCTGATCTTTGTAAATATTGGGTTGGCACTTGAGAGCGCAGTTGGGGATATTTGTGTGTAGAACATTGGAACATTGTAAAATGGTAAAACTTGTAAGAACCCCTCATAGGCGTTGGGTTTTATGATATAACCTGAGGGAGATGGTTGTATATGCCTGTACAGTACAGAAAACATTGCATCAGAAACCTGACTAACTGGATCTGTACCCTCTAGTACTGGTTGATCTTTGATCATGTTTTTTGGCACCATTTTGCATACCCAAGATCGCCGCTGATGAGGGGGCAGGGTTCGAACCGATGAACTGACTTTGGCTTATTGTTTGGGAAGAAATTAGGATTCATTGAGCACGCAGGAGGCGTTTTTTTTTGATTTTCTGCAAGTGGCTGCTCAAGTGGCTGCTCAAGTGGCTGCTCAAGTGGCTGCAAGTGGCTGCTTTTGCCAAATTCAAAATACGTGTCATATGCGCGCTCTCTGGATTCATTTGCATATCGAAGTTATTCAGTTTCCCTGCATCTTCAGACTTGGACTCATGCCGGCATCATCCTGACCAAAACGGAGAACTGCAGCTTGTATGGATGGTCCCTGACAAGGATAGTGTCGAGCCCTGCTACCACAAAATGCTTAAACAATCTCCAGGGTCTGTTCCCCCTAATATGAAGTACCCCCCTTAAGAGACCCTGGTATAGTATTGAAAATTGTTCGTTTTGGGGGGCCATACTTGTGTTGGATGTATTCAATCTTGGGGGTATGGGATTATATAATTCAAACATGTTCAAAACAAGCATTTTTCCCCACCTGCCAGGTGAGGGTTGTTAGATTTTATCACAGTTGTTCTCCTCCTCCTCGGCTAGCTATCCTCCTGCTCCTCCTGCTCCTCCTGCTCCTCCTGCTCCTCCTGCTCCTCCTCCGCCAGCATCTCCCCCACCACCTCTGCCTCCACTTGCACGTCCACTGTTGCTTTGCCAACTCTTCGCCAAGCGCTTCGCCAACGTCCGAGCTCAGTGTGCACCGCTGGACCTCAACCTGGGACCTTCCCAGCTCAGTGGGCACCGCCTTCCCAGCTCAGTGGGCACCGCTGGACCTCAACCTGGGACCTGCCCAGCTCAGTGTGCACCGCTGGACCTCAACCTGGGACCTTCCCAGCTCAGTGTGCACTGCTGGACCTCAACCTGGGACCTGCCCAGCTCAGTGTGCACCGCTGGACCTCAACGGCCAGATAGAATGCCAGAAGATATGCCAGATAGAATGTCAGATAGAATATATAGGGATCCTTAATTAATTATTCCAGGGGGTACCTTGGGTTGGTGGAATAATTTTGTCAGAATAATTTCCTAGGAATAATAACTCACTAGGGTAGGTAGGGGGGGGGTACCTCAAGGTGCCAGGAATAATATTGGAATTCTATACCCAATGTTGGTTTGGAATAATTTCAAGAAATCCATCAAGAGAAAGATGGAAAACATTGGAAAAAAAGAGCAGACAAGAGAATACAAGAGCTAGTAGGGTTTTGGGGCCCATGCTGGCCAATGTTGGGTGAGGTGGGTTCCTTGTTTGCAAGGGGGGTAATCTTCCATGTGTGGTTTAGGGGTCACATTGGAATAATTTCGGTTTTGCTGTTTGGGAAGAAGGGATGTGAAAGGGGCTGGGGGAGGAATGGGAAGAATGGATGTGAAAGGGGCTGGGAGAGGAATGCTGGGAAAGGATTGGAAGGGTTGGTTTTGTGTGGTTTAGTAGGGTTTTGGATGGTTTTGAGTGGTTTTGGGGCCCACGCCGGCCCATGTTGGGGGGTAATCTTCCATGTGTGGTTTAGGGGTCACATACCCCAGGAATAATTTCGGTTTTGCTGTTTGGGAAGAAGGGATGTGAAAGGGGCTGGGGGGGGAATGCTGGGAAAGGATTGGAAAGGGTTGGTTTTGTGTGGTTTAGTAGGGTTTTGGATGGTTTTGGGTGGCTTTGGGGCCCATGCTGGCCCATGTTGGGTGAGATGGGTTCCTTGTTTGCAAAGGGGGTAATCTTCCATGTGTGGTTTACCCCAGGAATAATTTCGGTTTTGCTGTTTGGGAAGAAGGGATGTGAAAGGGGCTGGGGGAGGAATGCTGGGAGAGGATTGGAAAGGGTTGGTTTTGTGTGGTTTAGTATGGTTTTGGGTGGTTTTGGGGCCCATGCTGGCCCATGTTGGGTGAGGTGGGTTCGTGTGGTATCGTGTGGTATCGTGTGCTGACCGGATCTGACTGGATCTGACTGGCAAGGTTCTGAATGTGAGGATGAGTGAGGTGCAAGCTGATTCAAGTAGCTGGAAGTATCTGCAAATGAAGGTTTTAGTAGAAATTATTCTGCACTGTCAGCCACGTACTGGAACAATTTCCCAGAACAACCTCCAAGGTATCTGGAATAATTTCTAATTATTCCTGTGTATGGCAAGGGAGGTACCCTATATGATAGAATGCCAGAAGATATGCCAGAAGATATGCCAGATAAAGCGCCAGAATGTTTGCCAGATAAAATGCCAGAAGATATGCCAAATAGAATGCCAGAAGGTATGCCAGATAGAATGTCAGATAGAATGCCAGAAGGTATGCCAGATAATGTTTGCCAGAACATACGCCAGAAGATTTGCCAGATAGAGTGCCAGAAGATATGCCAGATAGAGTGCCAGAAGATATGCCAGATAGAGTGCCAGAAGATATGCCAGAACATATGCCAGATAGAATGCCAGAAGATATGCCAGATAAATGCCAGAAGATATGTCAGATAGAATGCCACAAGATTTGCCAGCAACAAAACGTATAGATGTCATGGTGGGGATAACTCAAAGTAAAGTAATTGTGTTTTTTCCTGGCGTACCCAATAGCATGACCCATAGCTTGGGGTCGGGGACAAAAACTGGTACCTCATCCGTGCTGGAGCAGGTGGCGAAAGATGGAGCTACGTGTGGAGGCTGCGCTTGGGTTTACCTTACCCAAGAATTGTTGCTTGGTGAAAGACTTGCAGAATGCCTTTCATCGCTGGCCGCCGGCCCACCTTTCACATGTGCTCACCAACCAAAAATTTCTATATTCATCAGCCATTAAAAAAAGTAGAGGCTAGCCACATGCAGGTTTCAAATCCCGAGTTATGTTGCAAAGGTCAGTCCAGAATGTAGAAGCTGTAGATAGTTCACACATGTGCACTTGGGTCCAGGTTCACAGAATTAGTTGGCATTGCATCTGAACAGACGGCAACGGTAGTTGCTGTTTTTCTCCTTCGGTTGCGCAAAAATTGCCAAACAGAATGACAAAGCCAATGACGTTGAATTCATGATCCATGACGTCTTGTAGTACGCTTAATTGTGTTGACAATGTTTGTCAAGGTTTGCTCCCTAAGGGAGAGTGTTATCACTGGCAGGTTTTTTCCCCTAAAGAGGTTTTTCCTGATGTCAGTCGCCTCAGCCCAATGTCCGGCTGGCAGAGCTGTTGACAATTTCAACTTCTCGTGAGCGTTTCCCAGAGGTCGGAGCTCCTTTTGGGCGCCAAACTGCTAAACATGAAAAACCTAATTCTTACGTATGTGCGTCATGTGCGTCATGTGACTCAAGCCATTTGGGCATCAAAAAACACGCAAAAAACGACCGTCCTTCTCGGCTCTTGGGAGAAACCAAGCAGCCATGGGCCAGGTGTCTGACAATGCGGCCATGGGCCATGTGTCTAAGGAGATGCAGCCAGTGGCCTTGCGGAGCATCAAAAAGGTCGTCAGGACTGGATTTGCTGATCATTTTATGTTTGTTCCCATTGGGCCCATTGGTTGTGCTTGATCCATGTTAATCCAGTATTTTTTTTGGGAATATGCTGGTAACACTTCGATGTTTTGGCATGTTTTGGCCCCAAATTTCACCCCCTCACATATCATCTAATCCACAGGACATCCACACCACTGGAGAGAGAAATCGAATGCATCGAAGGTCTTCGCCAATTCTCGCAGAAGCCCCCGGTGGAAGTCTCAGGCCGCGTGTCTGTGTTGACGCCCACCACTGCGTCACGTGCACGTTTCCATGAGCAGCTCTGGCAGTGTTTCGTTGATCAGACCTGGCCAGACAAGGACAGACTTTCTTGATGGTTTGATGTTCCGTTTCCCGGTAAATCCACCAGAAATATCCAGAAATGGCAAGTCTACAGGGACTATCATCATACATTGCGATATTATGTGTATATTTTCGTGGGTCATCTCAAGCAAAGCCAACAGGAGTTGGTGGTGGTGGAAACTTACACCCACAACCAACGACCCTCCGAAGTCTTCACCAAACTCGTCAAGGCAGGGGAGAAGAGACTCAAATATTTGGCTATTGAGGTGGATGAAAACGGTGACTTCACGGTGGGCGCCAAGAGAAATTTGACCGTGCTCATGTCCAGTGGACAGTACGCCATGGATTTGCTGAGTCGTTGATGAGGATTTCCCCATTTTTTCAACGGGAAATCCACCGCTTGGGGAATCTATCGGTGATACTCTCTGGTAAACTAACATAACTATGGAAAACCACCATTTTTAATGGCTAAATCAACTATAAATGGCCATTTTCCATAGCTATGTTCAATTACCAGAGGGTATATTTTATTGGGGGGTTTCTTAAGTAAGTCCAAGGTACTGCGTTCACTTTGATGACGATGACTTGTACGCAACGGTCTATGTGGAGCGTATGGTGAGCGAGATCAGACAAAGAAGTTTGGTCGCACTGACGCTCTCCGCATGGCACAACTTCTTCGAGTCCAGAGATCGGTGTGGATATTCCACCCCAGGATGCTGGGAGCCAGAGGATCATGAAGAGTACGAGGGCATCCTCTATGGCTATGGTTTTAGCTATGTTTACCTCCGGGCATTAGCGCTTTATTTTCCATACCCCAACTTAGCCTTTGCCGAGGATGCGCCCTTCATGTTGAAGCTTCGAGAGAAGATGGGTGCCAGCCGTGTTGGGCTCAAAGAAGATGTGGAGGGCCTTTGCCTTCACATAGTCCATTCCACAAGCAGCACGCCTGACCCGGCCGTTGAGACAATGCTCACGGAGGGAGAATTGAATGGCTTAGTGGTGTCGGAGTCAACGGCATGTCGATTGCACCTGCAGCGGCCGTGGTTTCGGTCACTCTGGACATCTTGTTGACTCTTGTTGACTGGGCATGGCGTAGCCAACTTTTTCGTGTTTTGCACAATTAATGCTGCGTAAAATCTGATCCGTTGCACCTTGTTCCCCAGCAATGGCTGGCCGGAAGCATCGCTATTCATTGGAGTGGCGGTGGTGAGGAAAGCACCAGGGACCACCAGCGCGGCATCATAAGGAAAGGATATGGACTCCTTATCAACCCTGGGCTCTCATTCTCAATATGTCCTTACATTTCCATACGTCATTAGAAAAATAGTGTGGGATGGTGTGGATGTGTATGGTTCAAACATGTTCAAACTAACCTTTACCAAAAAAAAAGACGTTGAATTTCATCGCTGGCCGCCGGCCCACCTTTCACATGTGCTCACCAACCAAAAATTTCTATATTCATCAGTCATTAAAAAAAGTAGAGGCTAGCCACGTGCAGGTTTCAAATCCCGAGTTATGTTGCAAAGGTCAGTCCAGAATGTAGAAGCTGTAGATAGTTCACACATGTGCACTTGGGTCCAGGTTCACAGAATTAGTTGGCATTGCATCTGAACAGACGGCAACGGTAGTTGCTGTTTTTTTTCTCCTTCGGTTGCGCAAAAATTGCCAAACAGAATGACAAAGCCAATGACGTTGAATTCATGATCCATGACGTCTTGTAGTACGCTTAATTGTGTTGACAATGTTTGTCAAGGTTTGCTCCCTAAGGGAGAGTGTTATCACTGGCAGGTTTTTTCCCCTAAAGAGGTTTTTCCTGATGTCAGTCCGCTCAGCCCAATGTCCGGCTGGCAGAGCTGTTGACAATTTCAACTTCTCGTGAGCGTTTCCCAGAGGTCGGAGTTCCTTTTGGGCGCCAAACTGCTAAACATGAAAAACCTAATTCTTATGTATGTGCGTCATGTGCGTCATGTGGCTCAAGCCATTTAGGCATCAAAAAACACGCAAAAAACGACCGTCCTTCTCGGCTCTTGGGAAAAACCAAGCAGCCATGGGCCAGGTGTCTGACAATGCGGCCATGGGCCATGTGTCTAAGGAGATGCAGCCAGTGGCCTTGCGGAGCATCAAAAAGGTCGTCAGGACTGGATTTGCTGATCATTTTATGTTTGTTCCCATTGGGCCCATTGGTTGTGCTTGATCCATGTTAATCCAGCATTTTTTTTGGGAATATGCTGGTAACGCTTCGATGTTTTGGCATGTTTTGGCCCCAAATTTCACCCCCTCACATATCATCTAATCCACAGGACACCCACACCACTGGAGAGAGAAATCGAATGCATCGAAGGTCTTCGCCAATTCTCGCAGAAGCCCCCGGTGGAGGTCTCAGGCCGCGTGTCTGTGTTGACGCCCACCACTGCGTCACGTGCACGTTTCCATGAGCAGCTCTGGCAGTGTTTCGTTGATCAGACCTGGCCAGACAAGGACAGACTTTCTTGATGGTTTGATGTTCCGTTTCCCGGTAAATCCACCAGAAATATCCAGAAATGGCAAGTCTACAGGGACTATCATCATACATTGCGATATTATGTGTATATTTTCGTGGGTCATCTCAAGCAAAGCCAACAGGAGTTGGTGGTGGTGGAAACTTACACCCACAACCAACGACCCTCCGAAGTCTTCACCAAACTCGTCAAGGCAGGGGAGAAGAGACTCAAATATTTGGCTATTGAGGTGGATGAAAACGGTGACTTCACGGTGGGCGCCAAGAGAAATTTGACCGTGCTCATGTCCAGTGGACAGTACGCCATGGATTTGCTGAGTCGTTGATGAGGATTTCCCCATTTTTTCAACGGGAAATCCACCGCTTGGGGAATCTATCGGTGATACCCTCTGGTAAACTAACATAACTATGGAAAACCACCATTTTTAATGGCTAAATCAACTATAAATGGCCATTTTCCATAGCTATGTTCAATTACCAGAGGGTATATTTTATTGGGGGGTTTCTTAAGTAAGTCCAAGGTACTGCGTTCACTTTGATGACGATGACTTGTACGCAACGGTCTATGTGGAGCGTATGGTGAACGAGATCAGACAAAGAAGTTTGGTCGCACTGACGCTCTCCGCATGGCACAACTTCTTCGAGTCCAGAGATCGGTGTGGATATTCCACCCCAGGATGCTGGGAGCCAGAGGATCATGAAGAGTACGAGGGCATCCTCTATGGCTATGGTTTTAGCTATGTTTACCTCCGGGCATTAGCGCTTTATTTTCCATACCCCAACTTAGCCTTTGCCGAGGATGCGCCCTTCATGTTGAAGCTTCGAGAGAAGATGGGTGCCAGCCGTGTTGGGCTCAAAGAAGATGTGGAGGGCCTTTGCCTTCACATAGTCCATTCCACAAGCAGCACGCCTGACCCGGCCGTTGAGACAATGCTCACGGAGGGAGAATTGAATGGCTTAGTGGTGTCGGAGTCAACGGCATGTCGATTGCACTTGCAGCGGCCGTGGTTTCGGTCACTCTGGACATCTTGTTGACTCTTGTTGACTGGGCATGGCGTAGCCAACATTTTCCTGTTTTGCACAATTAATGCTGCGTAAAATCTGATCCGTTGCACCTTGTTCCCCAGCAATGGCTGGCCGGAAGCATCGCTATTCATTGGAGTGGCGGTGGTGAGGAAAGCACCAGGGACCACCAGCGCGGCATCATAAAGAAAGGATATGGACTCCTTATCAACCCTGGGCTCTCATTCTCAATATGTCCCTCCATTTCCATATATACGTAATTAGAAAAATAGTGTGGAATGGTGTGGATGGGTATGGTTCAAACATGTTCAAACTAACATTTACCAAAAAAGTCCAAAAAGTAAGGATTCTTTTCAGGTCAAAAGAAGACCAGCCATGTGTGGGTCAGGGACCGTCGCCCGCTCCTTAAACCATGAGGCTTCATTGGTGTTCGCGTGGGCGATGTTCTGAAGCAAGGGAGGCGCCAAGATTGGACCTGAAGGTTTGAGGGATGTTGTTTGCTCAGCATCGGGGTGTGTGACCCTTCTGATCGACAACTGGCGGGTCCAAATGCGTTCAAAAATCCCAGTCAAAAGCCTGGGATGACTGCATGATTTGATTTGATGTTGCTTCCATGTCGAACTCGGATGAGGGTTGGTCGAGACGAGCTACCTGAGATCGCCAGGTATGAACCACAGCGGTGCTACAACTTCCCTCAACTGGATCGCAGAAGAAATGCCAAGGTGGATATCTACCAGCACGTTGCCTGCCATGATTTTTTCCGCGAACAGGCAGATTTGGCAGCAATCTAACATGATAAGGAGGCATGTACACATGGTGAGATTTGGCAAGCTGATGAGGTTCTTCTGGGCAAATAAGAGGCACCAATGGGCAAATACTGGACGCATGTGGACGCCCTCGATTGGGGATCTTGCCTCCACCTATTCAAGCTGGGCCATTTCGTTTTCACTTCGTATTTGAGGTCAAAATCTTGGTTTCCCATCGAAATTCCCTCACTGTAGACCAATCCAATGATTAGTGGTTTACTATAGTATTACTACCAATAATCGTGATTAGTAGACCAATCTTGGTTACTACCCAATGTATTGTACTAATTAAAGAACCACTGATATTCCGCATCAAAGATCACCATGAAGCTCCCTTTTTTCCAGCCTAGGTTGGTACGTGTATGGTGGCCGTGGATCCAGATACCAAGGCAACACATGTGCCTCGCCACGTTAGCAGAGGGAAAACCGCAGAACAAATGGATATGTTGGGTAATTTTTGTTGTATGGATATGAGTAACTATACCATAATTACTACTATTTTACGGTAACTATATAGACTAAAATTGAATTATCATGCACATTGGTTTTAAATTATGATTTGTCGGCAGGAATGCGAATCGAGATTTGTCTTGCATCATCCAGATTAAGATATGCCAAGATGGTAATGAAGATACAGTATAGCTACAGTCAACTGGAAGGATGCACCAAGAACAACAATCTCAGTGGTCTTTCCGTAGCTTAGTACAACATCAATGGAATATTTGAGTATGCCTAGATTTGAGATTTTGCACCATGTTTGAATTTTTCGTGGCGGTGATCATGTTCCCGACCCGGCCGCCTTATATTACATATAATGATATATATTTAATTATATATATGTAATGATATATATATATAATGATATATATATAGTCCTCAACCTTTCCTTCTGGTAAGTTGACTGATCGCATGGCTATTCCCATTCCAAGGGTTTGATTATAGCAAGTGCATGTGCTTCCCAGGTGGTGGCCCTAGAAAGAGGAGGAAAGAGGAGGAATTCTGAAAGATCCAGCCTATGGACAGCATATAAAAACTAATGTGGTTTAAACAAACAATAAACCATCCCCCAAATCACCATAGATAGGTGGTGCAATGTTTGATGAGTACATATCCCATTTTATCACCAGTCAAATCATATTAAATCGCACTAATTCCCTTAAATCCCATCAAATTCCATTATCCATGAAGTCTCACGAAATTCCCATGACGTCTCATGAAATTCCCATGAAGTCCCAGGAAATGTCCATATATTTCCATGAGGTCCTACGAAATCATGATCTTTTCCCAGCTAACCTCCATGGCTCGTTGGGTTTTCCCAGCTGTGACCGTTGCACCAAGGAGGTGGCTGTCACCAGCCTGGATCCAGAGACGCCAGCCTCGCGGATCAAGATCCACGTGCAGGCGGGAGCTACACCGCTTGGGGTTGGGGTTGGAGCTAGCCATGTGGGACTGAGGTTGGAGTTGGCTGAACATAAGGATTTTTTAAGGTTTTTTTGGCGGTGATTTTGGGGGATTGGTTCTGATTCGAGTCTTGAGGGAAGATGGATGGGCAAGATGGGAACGAACTCTGTAGGGATGAAGGGGGCCAAGAAACATGATAGAAAAGCTGATCCCTACCCATTACATGATTATGTTCCATATATAATATAAAAAATTATACCCTATAATTTTCCGAACAACCAACCCATTCATGTGGGTATAGTACTGTACGAGTAAATATACGAACACAACACCGTGGAACATATGGGTGTTTACTGTGCCAGGGGACCCAACATCCAAGTCATTGGTCTTGTTGACTGGGGGAACCACTGGTTTGGGGCACCACATTGGGAAACACTTTCAGTACCACTGGTGTGTTTGTTGAAACAAGGTGCCCCCAAATCCAGTGGTGAGCTATCGCATTTCCCATCAAACAATTGCAATATATTGGGGCAAACCCCCATTTTCACGCGCTTATATCTCAACTTATGGTCGTTGTGAACATGATTGTATCAATTGTTTCCCAGTGAAATCCCAACCGCGCCCCCAGATATATTCGGTTGCAGCGGAGTGGTCCATTTGAAATGACTTTGTTGATTGGTTATCAGCGGGAGTTACTACACACCCCCCAAATACGAATGCCTTCGTGGTATGCCTAATTGTGCCTATATATTAAACAACCAGCAAATGGGATGATGGTGATTTACTGCTATTTCTGTGAATTCCTAGTTGGTGGTTTCAGATAGTTCGCTTATAAATCCAATTAAGCCTAGATAATATCATATATAATATATACACACACCATAAATCATGGAGACTTAACCACCTCAAACTGAAGAAACTTAGCTATGTCGGATCACAGGCCATGTCCGAGGAGAACAAGCAACAGCGGGAGCAACGCACCAAGGTGAATCCGCCATTCTGGCCGACTGGTTCTTTAACAGTTTGCTACACGGTATAGATGGCCATGGATGGCTCAGCAATGGTTCGATGATTTGCCTTTTTCGACAATGGTGATTTTCCAGAGCTGCGGTTAAATTACTAGAGCGTATATCCGATTAGACTCAACATGGATTGTTCTATTTAGCTAATTTAGTTGACTGTAAACCCTGCTTCACCAAAAGTCCCGTGGACTCGGTGATCAGCCCTACTAGATCAAGGAAACAAGCACCAAGACACCACGGCTTTGTGTATATTGGATCTATTCATTGTGAACCCCATTAACAACGGGTTTGTTGTCGAGGGATTAATTGTATGCTTTACCCACAAGAATGACTTGCTATTCAGCCCGGACACCTGAAAAATGACCTTCTATGACCTTCTCCCCTTTCATAAACACCTAGAGGATTCTTAATCCAGGGCTGATATGGGTGCACAAAGGAATAATTTAAATGGTGATTGGTCTTGATGCGGAAATCAATTGCTTTATTCCATGCATATTTACTGTGAAATGTGACCAACGATTTCTTCATATAATAGCAGTCACCTGCAGTGTTTCGATCATTTTTTTTTACCTTCTTGATCCTTGCATTACCAATTTTAACGAATCTTCCCGGACTGTTGTTTTCCCCTGACCTATCACGACCATTCACGACCTATGCTTCTCCGACACACTCCTGGACGCCACTAGGCATTGAAGGTTCAAGCTCGCGACTACCTCATGAAGTACAGTATTGAAGCCACTCGTTGGCACAGTCGGTGGCTTCTGATGAATCATGGGTCAGCAGGTGGAAAACATGTGTAAATTTTGGGGAGCAGAATTTCGAGACACCCAAATTGATCCAAGAGAATGCAACAACTGGGGGCACTTGCAACCTTGACCCACAGACCCTGCTGCGGCTTAGGAGAGGCTCTCCGAGGCGGTCAAGGCTTGGAGATGAGGATGAACCATATTTTTATTACAACGAGTATTAATTTCATACATTATGATACCATGTTGATCCATATATTGTGTATAGACTTGATAAAGATGGCTGGCACATACCAAATTTGACAATCATAGAAAAGCCAAATCACAATAAATCACTTGTTCTCCCTCATTCCGTTCTCCGTATCCTCGGCTCAAACATCGCCAGCCACAGCACAGGCCTTGTTGAAGGAACAACCTGCAGACCCCACGGCCTTTCTCTGTCGCTGGGCGCAAGCGACCGAAAACGTTTCATCATCAGTACCATATGTGGTCAGTTTGATCTTAAACTCACATTTGCATACCCTCCAGTACATTAAATCAACATAGACTCTGGCAGATAGGGGTTGGAAGATGAGTTTCCACTTAAAAGAATGCGGTCTATATTAATTTACCATAATTTACCAGAGGGTATAATAGTATGCGAATGTATGTGTGCATTGTGCATGCATGTGATGTTGAACATCTAGAATCTAGAAAGCACCGTTTCTTTGCTGAGAGCCAATCTTCTATCACCGTGCAAGCATTGTGGGCTTGTGGGTATTTGATGTTGGCAGCTAGGTGACATTTACGTTAGAAAGTTTATGGATTGGTCTCACGAATATGTGGACACCCCATCAGATCTTTATAGGGGCAACACTGTACCTGCAAAGAAGTCCTTGAACGCATTCATTGCTCCAGCATTTTATTGAGCAGCCGCTTGCCCAAGGTAAACAACTCACCGATTGGGACAAGGTGCGCTGGAAAATCTTCAGGTTTCTTTTGGAGCCAAGAGATACCGACAGATTATTGGATTTTGAACATGACCGGTACCTGAAGCGTCGTTAACTTACAAGAAACTAACATAGTTATGGAAAGCCCATTGTTTGCCTAGAAATCAATCATTGGTGTGTGTTTCCATGTCTATAATATTCACATACTGGGAAGCAATAGAATTCCAGAATCCTGATTTCTGGATTCGGTGTTGAAAGCCTTGGTGCTGCTGGATGGTGGTTTTCAGGGCTAGTTAACTATGCGATTCCTGGTGGCATGAAGCATTGCTCTCGCAATTTTCCCCCGAATAAAAAAAATGAAAAGCAATATGAATTCTGACTAATCAAAAGCAATCCAACCATTGAACAGCAATATAAATTCTGACTAATCAAAAGCAATCCAACCATTGAAAAGCAATATAAATTCTGACTAATCAAAAGCAATCCAACCATTGAAAAGCAATATAAATTCTGACCAATCAAAAGCAATCCAACCATTGACAAGCAATGTAAATTCTGACCAATCAAAAGCAATCCAACCATTGAAAAGCAATATAAATTCTGACTAATCAAAAGCAATCCAACCATTGAAAAAGCAATTTAAATTCTGACCAATCAAAAGCAATCCAACCATTGAACAGCAATATAAATTCTGAACAACCAAGAGCAATCCAACCATTGACAACCAGTTTAAATTCTGACCAATCAAAAGCAATCCAACCATTGAACAGCAATATAAATTCTGACCAATCAAAAGCAATCCAACCATTGAAAAGCAATAAAAGTTCTGACCAATCAAAAGCAATCCAACCATTGACAAACAATATAAATTCTGAACAAGCAAAAGCAACCCAACCATTGAAATGCAATATATTTTTTCTGAACAAGCAAAAGCAATCCAACCATTGAAAACCAATATAAACTCTGACCGATCAAAAGCAATCCAACCATTGACAAGCAATTTAAAATCTGAACAAGCAAAAGCAAGCCAATCATTGAAACGCAATATCTTTCCTGAACCAGCAAAAGAAAGCATTCCAACCATTGAGAAGCAATATGAATTCTGAGCAACCAACAGCAATCCAACCATTGAAAGGCAATATAAATTCTGAACAACCAAAAACAAGCCAACCATTGAAAAGCAATATGAATTCTGACCAATCAAAAGCAATCCAACCATTGACAAGCAATATAAATTCTGAAAAAGCAAAAGCAATCCAACCATTGAAATGCAATTTATTTTTTCTGAACAAGCAAAAGCAATCCAACCATTGAAAACCAATATAAATTCTGACCAATCAAAAGCAATCCAACCATTGACAAACAACATGAATTCTGCCAATCAAAAGCAATGCAATCCAACCATTGACAAACAATATAAATTCTGAACAAGCAAAAGCAATCCAACCATTGAAATGCAATATATGTTCTGAACAAGCAAAAGCAATCCAACCATTGAATACCAATATAAACTACTCTGACCAATCAAAAGCAATCCAACCATTGAAAAGCAATATAAATTCTGAACAAGCAAAAGCAAGCCAACCATTGAAACGCAATATCAATTCTGAACCAGCAAAAGAAAGCAATCCAACCATTGAGGAGCAATATGAATTCTGAGCAATCAAAAGCAATCCAACCATTGAAAAGCAATATAAATTCTGAACAACCAAGAGCAATCCAACCATTGACAACCAGTTTAAATTCTGACCAATCAAAAGCAACCCAACCATTGAGAAGCAATATAAATTCTGACCAATCAAAAGCAATCCAACCATTGAAAAGCAATATGAATTCTGACCAATCAAAAGCAATCCCACCATTGAACAGCAATATAAATTCTGACTAATCAAACGCAATCCAACCATTGAAAAGCAATATAAATTCTGACCAATCAAAAGCAATCCAACCATTGAAAAGCAATAAAAATTCTGACCAATCAAAAGCAATCCAACCATTGAAAAAGCAATATAAATTCTGAACAATCAAAAGCAATCCAACCATTGACAAGCAATATAAATTTTGACCAATCAAAAGCAATCTAACCATCGAAAAGCAAAATAAATTCTGACCAATCAAAAGCATTTCAATGAAAAAAGCATTTGAATTCTGACCAATCAAAAGCAATCCACCCAGTGAAAACCATATGATTTCTGACCAATCAAAAGCTTTTCAAGAAAAAACTTTTGAATTCTGACCATTCAAAAGCAATCCAACCATTGGAAACCATTTGATTTCTGACCAATCAAAAGCATTTCAATAAAATAAAAACACATATGAAATTTGACCAACCTAAAGCTATGTTTGTTTCCCTTGAACAACTTGATATAGGCATCATGATCAACCCACCGTGTGTTTTTCAGGCCTCGGCAGTCACCAAAGAGGCGGCCGCCCGGGACACCTGGGCAGTTGGCTCTCGGAGAACATCCCGACACTTTTAGCATCAAAAATATTGGGTTGATACACTTCTCATTAATGGCATTATCATGTGAATTTGTTTTTACTAATTTATATCAGTTATTCATGATGGTTGGTCCACAGTAAGGGGTTATATAATGTTATACTATTCGAAATGAACTGGGCATTATCACAATCCATGAGCTGGGACTTGCGTTAACCAACCAGGATCAAATGGAACGACAAGGTTTTGCACACTGCTCATTTGGGGAACCTGTAGGGAAGGCGTGTTATTTTATTTTGGCTCGCTGAAGCGAGTGATGGAGGGTCACAATTTGTCAGCAGTATCAGGTCCTAGGCACTGCCCCAACTGAAACAAGCCCTTGTTCAAACTGGTTTCTACAATTGTCCTATTGATATTTAGCAGCAATGGACAGGGAAACCAGAAAGTTCAGAAATGTCATGAAATGTATGAATTCCGGAAAACCTGCAGGTATCTACAGATATAATATTGGATATTATTGGTACTTAGAGGCTCCAAAAGCCATACTTCTTTCGGCTCCAAGTATCTCCTCCATCTATTTCTTTGGATACCCATAAACCGGCCAGCTTGACTATGTAGGTGTGGGCTCACCTTAGGGGGTTATAATAAGGTATAAACCCATGATAAATACATGATATACCATTGGAATGGTTGGGTTTATACTATGTCATACTACTGCCAATAACCATTTTCTTGTTACATATAGCATACGCGTCATACTTATACCTATACTTATGTCATACTTATACTATGGCATTTACTAAATTTACTATTGTTATATTACCATGTGTGGTGGTTTAAATCACCATCTACAGCATTGAAGAGACATGTTTTCCACATGGTCTCAGGCGGCGCCGGCAGCCTCGGAACTGCCCCAAGTCTTCGAGGCGGGGATCATGGTGATGAACCAATCAACGGTGCAACGCTGCGATTGAGAAACGTTTATGGTGGTTTCATGTGATCTGGTTGGTGGTTCCAAACATTTTTTATTGTCCATAATATATAGGATAATCCTTCCCAACTGACTAATATTTTTCAGAGGGGTTGAAACCACCAACCAGAATGTGGCTTATTGGTATTGAATGGATCATGAACAATACATTTTTGGGATATATGATATATGGAATCGGACCAGAATGGATTAGGTGACAGTAGAAGATGGTACTGGTATGAGTTTGAAACCTGCCTTGATAAACTTTGGGACAGGTAATGCAGCTTCGAACTTCAATACAGTATAGCATATTAGATGATTTGTAATGACCTCACTGTATCTATCTATTGTTTAACCATAGTTAGATGGGCCCAATATGCCAGCTTCTGGTGCTTTAAATCCCATGGTTTTACTACCATGTGTGCTGCTTAATTGTTTTATATCATCTTAAATCTCCATTGTTGGTAAATTCACCATTCAATCCCATACATGTATATGTATATATATATTATGGTAATTTCAGGACCCGACAATTTAAAATAGATGTGTACTGTACCATATAAAGCCATATATTTGGGGGAGATATCCCCCAATCCATGGTAGGTACCTCCACTGAGAAGCGGCCCGGAACCGTTCCGCAGGACGAGTCGGTGAATCGCCTGCGCAAGGATGCGCGCGAGGCCTTCGTGCGTGCCACCGATGATGGATCCTTGGAGTCTGCGTTCCTTGGCCCATCGGGTCGTAGATGAGCATCTGGTAACATCATTGCCATGGGGAATTCAGCTCTAAATGGAGGTTTCACTGGGGATCATCATGGATCATCTCATCTATGGAACGATTTTCTGCCTTTTTTGCCATGGAAAATGATCCATTGAGTTCCATGTTCTCAGCGACAAGTCAGCGGAAGGAACTTGGAGGATCATCCCACGCAGAACTCGGGGGCTTCTAACCTCACGTACTGACCACTAAGTTTGGTCATCCCTCCAAGTAGATTGTGATTGCATATATAGTATCCAAAAACATGGAAGGTTGTAATTAGATGGATTACATGTATTATAATGATATAAATGAATTGTGGAAAAGTAAATCATCACTAGTTTAGTTTGCTTTTCTATTTTTGAGGATTAAATATAATGGATGGGTCACAATGACCTCACGTGACACTGGAATGATGGTGCATGTACATGGGAATCATCCCGAAATGGCCGTATGATAGCAGCAATTTTCAAGCTAGTGAGTTATTGTAATTCAGGAACGCATAGATGTCAGAGGATTTTTAAAATTCCCACTAGTTGGCTGGTTCATCTATAAAAGCTCCCCTCCCGATGAAAACCAACTAGTAAGTATAGAATATATATAATTATATAATTATATATATAATAAAGTATACGTATGACATAACAAGTGCCAATTCTGCCTTAATCAACTATGGAAATCCGAAAAAACGCATAAATTGAGTTGGGCTTAAGTTGATTGGAAAATCATCTATAAATGGCATATTCCATTGCTAAGCAGCTACCGGTATCTATATTTACTATTGAATCAGATTATATCGGCAGCCAAGGAGCTACGAATATCAACTATCCAATGGACACAGGGATGAATAGATCCAATGGCAAGTCAATTGAGCAGTGGAGTATCCTACGGGGCCCGATGCCCGATTCTGTGTTGGATTGCAAGTTGTGCCAAAGGGTCTCAATGTACTTTGTTCTTTCGTCCACATATGTTCACCAAAATTTCCGTTGTAATGGGAAAAATGATGGTCAGCCATGAAATTGTATTGGCTACCCTATTTTGAGGTAAACCATACATCGTGTTATCTCTATATATATATACATACATGTAATATATGAATACTGTACGTTATATATATATTAAACACAATATGTTATATACATAGGATTTGGGGAATCATCCCTGCTTATTGGCTGAATGATAACTTACCCAGATTGCTGGGTTCAATGACAAAAACATGGGTGACGTCAACCACAGAGACCGGGGATGTTCAGCCAAGAGAAGTTGAGATTGAACATGATTTAAATAACAACGGTTGGGTTTGTTTTTAACAACCATCCAGGTGTGGGCACCTGGGAAGAGGCTTCCTGTAAGCATGGCGCCATTGGAAAATCTTGGTGTTTTGTCTAAACGGAAAAATCATGAACAATCATCAATTGACATGGAAAAAGGGTTGGATGTGTTCCATGCTTTAACTCAATGTTCCTTGAATGATGGAGACAAACACTTTCCACAAACAGATGCAAACAACATCCCATAATATAATTACTCAATGAAACAAGCATGCCCAACACCCCAAGTCCCTTTGCCAGCCTGTCTACATCTGCGTAGACATGGAATGATTTGGAACATGTCCAGGAAATCAGCTGGTTTCACATGGCCCCAGGTTGAACAGCGTGAAAGGCGGCCGCAATGCTTCTCAGCTGGCACCAGTTAAGCCAGCTGTGAAATTTACCCCTCCTCATTGGTTATCAAAGGAGGTTATCAATCCCATCCTGATATTAAAGACCTCTTCAATCCTCAGTAGTCCCAAATGTATCCAAATATCGTTAAACTTGCTACGAACCCATGGTTCCTGGTGTTGAATATTGGGGAGAATTCCAGATCCTATCTGGCCTGGTTTATTGATGTCTATTGGCATAGCCGCAACCAGTATCTCATGGATCCGGCACTGACTTTGTACACTCCTGCGTAGGATTGAAATGAGTTGCATGCCATGCGTATCTCCTCATGTCATGAGTCATATAAAGTTATAACTGCTACGTGTCTTTGTTTAATTCGAGATGTCAGGTATTGTTGTTGTGATGCATGAACATCTTTGCAGCCTTGGTAGGATTGAAGTTGAGACTGGATCTGAGATCATTGGCTGAGCATTGGTTCTTTGCGACTCTGTGTTTCATCACGGGCAAGGTCAATGTGAAGTAGGAAACCAAGGCGGCTCTTTGTAATTCTTTGTATATGCACACGTTGATTCGAAACTCTTTGTCATGAAACATCCTTAGAAACGGGCGATTTGGGAACAGAATTGCAGCACTATAGTGCAGCCCATTCTCACCAAGGCCCATGGTAAGGATGGTGGCAGCAAGGACTCCGCCGGCAAGGCTCGGACAGTTGTGGGAATTCTATGCGGAGGAAGGGAATGTGGTATTTGAAGAAATGGTATGCAGAGCTTGCCTGCCAGCTCCGCAATCCCCAATGTGGAGCTATAACTCGCTCATTCACCAACCTGACAACTCTGGAAACACTGGGGATGCACAATGGTGCCCCATGAATTTTCCGTTATATCATCACTCTCCCACCGTATCACCAAACAATTCCTATAATCTTACCATACATGTCCCATAAACATCACATTATATCAGTTTTCATTTCCAATAAATTTCCCTGCGCAGTTTATACATTTCCATTTGTCCATATGTATCCCATATTTTTTCCCCATATTAATTGTTCATATTTTTCCCGTGAATGTCCTTTGCCTACCAATTTCCTATACCTTTCCTACACACTTCTCATAGAATCACAATGATTATTCCAAAAATCGCCCCATCATTGTCCCCATAAATTTCCTCCAAAGAGTTCATTATTTATTCTACCAGGTCCGACAATTTTCAATCTATGTTTCTCCTAAATGCCCCCCACAATATCACAATTGATTATCCCACCATGTTTCCCTCATTTCTTGTTCATAATTTTCCGGAAGCAGGTTCCCTGCAGGTCCAGTTCCCCAATTTTCATCCATCTTCCATAGAGCCACAAAATCTCCTGCGAGGTGGTGGCCCATAGCTAGCTGAGTTGGTGATAACTCCAATTTCACTGGGATTTATGTTTTGATCTAGTTGGTTGGGGTTATAAACCAACTTATATTTTGGTTTTGTGGCAGGTACCTCCATAATTTATTCGAGGATCATGGTAGCTATATCGAACAAGTCAGCTATATTTTTAGCTACCATAGTTTGAAAACTATCATAGTTGCGTCAGTTGTCGAGAGAGAGATACATTTGTTAGGTAAACCATACATATATACATATATCGTACATGTATAGTTCACCACTTTTTTGGGGCACCACTTGGGGCCGCCTTTGGCGCTCAAGGAAGACGTTCGCCTCCGGGTCTCCAATCTCCTGGTGGACTCCGCCGAGAACGGCGACTTGGAACGGGCCTTGGCCTCGGTGATGAAGGCCCGCAACGGCGTTATTTAAGGAATGGATCGATTCGGAGATATATACAATTGGATACCATGAATATAAGGTATAAATTTAATAACTATAACTATATGGATATCATGATATAGTTGGTATTATCTATAAAGAATAACTATTACCTTTGGATAATTAATCATACTATCATAGATTTTCATGAATATATCTATGGATAATTGATATATCTGCAGTTTTAGATGAATTTGCACAATTTACCTGGATATACTCTACAATTGATTCGGAGATACATGGATGTACCTATAGTTGGATGTCATGAATATATGTTTTTGGATAATTTGATCCTGATATTTTCATCTACGTCCTACATTTAGATATAATTCGAATATATAATTGATTTGAATCAGGGATATGACTGTAGTTATAGATGGGATTATTTGCATGGATATATAATATGCGAGCAAAATAGTTGGATGTGTTTAGACAGAATATATTTCTGGTGTGCAGTGGGGGTAAGTCATAGGTAGAAGCATGGTAATTTACCTTGTAAGTTGGGATTTAACCATATACAATGCCTTGCAGCAATGGTTGTATAACCACTTTTGGGATCTATTGGGTGGGGTTGCTGTGGATTCGCATAGTTTTATTATTGAAACCAGGTGGGATTTCATTGGGAGATAATGGGAAAACCATAGTGCAATATGTTGGATAGTTTGGATAGAATCCACGTCAACCAACCAACAATACGAGTCGGCTGTGCGTCAAAATGAGGGTACCCTTGAAACATCCAATCTTCATGGGAATGTGATTCAACATGTTTTTGTTTGCTTGCTTGATTTGGGGAAACAAATCACACGAGGATTGTGTGGTGTTTGTGTAGTATAGGTAAATTATACCTCATACCGACTCATCCCGCCATATATATATATATATATATGTTGCTGCCCTTCGTATGCCCGGTGAGAGTGATTAAGACCCACTTTCAGTGGTTACATAGCTATATACGTATAATATATACAAATGAATATACAAATAAATATGTGTATATATATATATGTAAAATAGTGATATCCATGTTTTATTATCTAGCTAGAGGCTGCCTACCCTGGATGAAAGCCCAATCGGCCCCCTGGTCTTTGCATCAAAACCGCTTGTAGTTATGGGTCGTAATCCCTCGTTTAAAGCATTCCCGTGACCTTCCTGGCGAACATGGCGAAAGTGCCGTTTTTTTTTAAATGACCATTTTAGACGATTTATAGCTAAACCTCCAAAAGATAGAAACAAACAGCATTGTTTCAACAGGATTTCGCCGTTCCTCTCTTTTTGGAGGCTGTGACAAAATTATTGGCTTTCCCTGTGCCATGTTGAGATGACCCCAGCACTTCTCCGGTCAGGAGGGACTTGGAAAAATGTCCAAGGACAGGGGATGTGAAACCATATTTGTTTCGCTTCAGCTTGGGACGCTGGAATGGTTCTGCTGAACTCATACCAACTGGATGTATGATCACTCTTGGGATCCCAGACCATTCGTGAAGGCTGTCACTGCCTGACATGGCGAAATATTCCACTCGTGGTTACAGTACACATTATTTTGTTGTAAAAGATGTTGTTTGCCTTTTTGACCTATTCACTATTCTCCTCCATCCAAGTTTTCAGAGTCTGTATGTTTCCATGTTCATACTTGAAAAACAATTTGTATACCAATTTGAATGCATACACTGTATATAATGTGCGTACATGATTTGTACAATAGAGTTTTGGTCATATGTACATTTTAGCACATACTGGTTTTATGGGAATTTTCCCTTTCAAACATCGGATTTTGATCAGATGATCCCCGCTTGAAGAAGGAACAGTACATGGAGAAGATCAAACAAGATGCCGCGGGTCAAAACCAAAAACCTGAGTTTCTTGGATTCCCGAATGGAGCGTGCAAAAAAGGTGAGGAAAAGAGGTCATTGTTCCGCCAAAGAAATGATTTTCCCTCTCAAGGACCTTCAGCACCTTGCTGAAGGTTCCGACATTTCGTTGTGGCTCTGGAGGTTGTTGGTAATATAGGCGCTGCTCCGTGACATGGGTTGTAACTGCAAGCAGTTATAATTTCGAAATTGCCTGAGGTTCTATGCAGAAGGTGATGTCTCTTGGTTGATCAATGGGACAACGGCCTTTAAGCGGCCTTGCTTTGCAGCTGCCTTTTATTGATTGAAATGAATCCTTTACCAACTGCCCAAGACAGAATGAATCAGAATAAACTGACCAGGAATTTCCAAGACTTGCAATGTATTGTATACCCAGTGAATTATGTGATAGTTTTGCCCTTAGTAGAGCCATCCTTGCCTTTGTTGCTACCCACGACCAATTATACGTGCTCTTCGTTGGTGAAGCAGCACCACGAGAATGTCTTGGATGTCGTGTCAATCCTCGTGATTTGCTTTTCCGGATTTATCGTGTTCCTTCCAGAAATCTCAATCTAGCAAGTCACGTGATTTCAATTCGCATGTTTCAACATTCTGGGTGAATCTCACTGGAATATTTAGGGGCCCACTATCCCAAAAATAGGCTTCTTTCAGATTGCTGAAATAATCTACCAGTAGTACCGCACAAG